CTCCGTGAACACGGAAGCAAGGCGGTCGGATCAGAAAGAGCATACTGTGATCGTTTACAATCCACAAGTACTCACTTCGCCCGCACGGGGTCCGTCCACGATCATCACTTTCACATTGTTCGAATGGGGTACAACAGTCTGTAAATACTTCGGATTGACATCTTCCAACACACGACCGCTATCGGTTCGACATTGACACCGACCATTTTCTTGAACGTGGAGCACAGTTAACTAACAGGGCGTTTTGAGTATACAAAGCTGGAGCACAACGTACCTTATATTTGTAATATTTTCCATCGGCGTAGCGTTTATCTAGAAATTTCACCAGAAGGTTGGGGCGAACCCAGGAAGCTCGGCGGTCCGGTGGTCGAGAGGAAGAACTGCAAAATAACCCAAAAGAATCCATAACAGTGTTTGCGATCAAATAATTCCCTCAAGTGGAGGAAATAACATGAATTATTGTACATCAAAGTACTCATTTTCGAGAAAGAACTATGGTAGCAACCTAGTTCCGAAGACGAACGACTGCACCGCAGATTTATCTTTAAAACCTAAAACAGAGCGTGTTTTACNACCGCTTCCACTTACCAGCTTTCAAGCTGTCATGTCAAAATAAATCCTGCATTTGATCTGAGTAGCCCTTAATCAACCAGATTCGAGATCGTGTTCAACAAATTTCAGACTTTAATCTGCAGTCCAACAGTCCAACGATCGTCTACTGCAACGTGACCAATGAGGGCTTCGCTTCGAAAGTTGATTTTCAGTCATCGTTTGCCTATTATTGTGGGCATCCGTTTCCAGCGTCTTCTCACATTTGTTTACTTGATGTAGGCAAAATTTGTTTCGTAAGAGACCATGCTCTGTTTGTCCATGTGTTGACCGCGCCTATCCTTGTGGGGCCTTATGTGGCTCGCCACTCCAAGTCGTAGGGCTTAGGGTACCGGTTTCCATCACAGGTGTACGCTACATTAGGGTTCACCCCGTCTGTCTGGTCCATTACACAAAATGTGTGCACTAAAAAGGGTAAAATCACTAAGTGAACCTCTGGCCGTAGTATCCGATGGCGATGTGATCAATTTGTATCCATCACCAAGACGAACGAAAAGTTTTCGGTGTTTCTTGTGAGAAGTTGGTACCTGATAGGAACAATCCGAGGTGTACGCAGAGTTGAACTGGGCAATTGCCGATGTCCGTCTGGTCTGGTGGGATCGCATGGGACCCCTAGGTAACTTTCTGACTCATCTATGGCTCCCAAAGCAGCGTTGAATTCACCGGCAAATAACCACAACACCCAATGAACCGACAATTTACGTAAGTTCTAGTATAAGTTTGAGAAAACAGGATAAAGATAGACCGTCGGTTCTGAACATCGCTGTCTGAGGATGCGGACACTGTATGGAGCTAGATCAAGAAACGACTCGGGTTTCATCAATTTAATGGTTTCTGATTTACTTACCTTACTAACTAACCTCTGAGTGAAATACTCTAAGCGATAGAAACCGGAGGTATAGAGTCAGTTTCGGAAGTGAGAGGGAGAACTAGACATGTGGTAAAGAAGGTTTTGGTGGTAGGAAGCTCTGCTGTTGTCCGGTTCCATCCCACACCTAACCTATCGGGTTCTTGTGTGGTTCGCCACTCCAAGTCTCCGGGCTTAGGTTGCCGGTTTCCACCGCTGAACAGCAGGTCCTCGTGACTATGGGGTTCGCTCCGTCTATTGTTCATCACACTTGTGTGTAATAAAATAAAAAAGTGGATATGAGACCTAAGGACGCAGCATAATTCGCGGCAGCGCACGTTGACAAAGGGGGCTTTCTTTGGGAAACCTTGTTGAAACATTCAATTCAAAAGTTTGACCCATAAGACAGATAGATGTAAACCTGACTAAAAGATGTGATCAAGGGGAAACTTCTGGAGACATGTCACATGTTCTTGGGATTCCAAGTTAGTTTTCTGCACTGATTATCCAGCCGCCGTTCGGAATAAACCTCTTATATGCACTGAGATATGTGGAACGGAACCGGAAACCAAATTACAGGCTGGGGGCTAGTCAGCATTGACGAAGAATTCTCTCACCGTCGAGAGGAAACTCGAATGCCCCACTTCTACGTCCACCTTGTAGTTTTTGTCAGTAAAACGCTCCTCCTGAAGTGAGGCAAAAAAGGATGGTTGAAGGGAGAACCAACTGGTACCAAACTGAGTCGTTGTTTTTTGTTCATCATTAGGATCACGTAAATGAGGCTTATTGTAACATATTATTTTCTAACACACCATATTGTGCATGTGTATATTAACCGCGTAAACAGGAGGACCTACAGTTCAGTTTTGAGAACAAGTGATTTAATCTCCAGCACCTAAAGTAGCGAATTACATAAAGGTAGGCGCAGTATTGCTTCGCACAACAGCAAAGTTACTTAACATCAAAGTTAGCCGTGTTTGATTTTCGAAACCTGGGGGCCTAGAGCACACCAGTAGCAGCAACCTAAACCGTTTAATCACTATGATCAGCTGTCAAACCTAACACAACATCAAAAGCATACTTTTACTTGTGAAGTACCTGCAGAAGAATGTATCAACGTTGTCTGTTGATTAACCGAGTAAATGAATTAGCTCAATTTAGGCCTATACTGATTACGTGTAGCATGTACGACGGGGAGAAAAGCTGTACAATACAATCCAAGTACATTTCGCTTAAATTTTGTTGTGTACGGATGAAGTGACAAAGTGCTTTGGAGACCCTTCACGTATTACAAAGCCAGTCAAAATTTACAAATAAGAATAGTTCTTACCTCGATTTTTTTAGCGGTTCTGGATGGTCATCAAGCTCACTGGGTCGCTTCGTTAGTCCATTCGAGTGATTATCTTGATTTGCAGAGGAATGTAACGGTGACGATCTGTCTCTTTTTTGAAGTGGATGGTGTCGCTGCTGCTCAGCTTCTTCCGCTTTATAGCGATTGACTTCATCCTGATCTGTGAAAAGTAAAAGAGCGGGGACATCCACAGATGATATATTGCAATCAACATATGCTTCGGACAAAGCATAAGATTAAAATTGATCTCACTATAGGAACCGAGAAACTTTGGGAATACAGTGAAGAAAACTTTACGGATTTATAACAATGAAGAATTGAATCTGATAACGTTGAAGATAAACACCCAATGGGTAAGTTCTTCCACAGTTGGGCACGGATTGCGCTAGAGCTTACTAAGATAAGTGATCCGTCAAAGTAAGTAAGACTCATATCAGAATGTATCGAGGTGAATTAGACGAATGAAAACTAACATACCCCAAGATAAAATGGTGCCATAAGCCAGAGATTCTGCTTTTCCTATTTAATCAATTGCCCCGAAAGCCTTCTAAGTTAGGCCCTGTGCGTACCTCTTAGTTAAATGAAGCAATGGTACGGTACATTAATGACTCACTAATTTACGGCCTTCCTCTGGAATTGAAAGTAAAATAGATGTAATCCAATCCCATAGGAGTATCTCACTGTTCTGTGTGCACGAAACCAGTGCACGTGGTGGATCCACCACTATTAAAAGACAAACTTTTTAGATCTCTTGTGGCATGCTGTCCTCTCCTGCAGCTATGTTGTTCAAATTCCTGATGACTTTTGCATGTTTGTCTTACTTTGGTAGTTCAAATCTGACATCATAGTATTCGAGAGAAGCCAGTGGAGTCGAAAGCGTTGAGTGGTTTATAGGACGGTTCAGCTGAAGATCAGTGTCCGAAAAAATACGTGTATCTTCCTCCGCTACCCTGGAATGAACTTTACGGAAATGCTATGCAACAGGGATTGAGAAGCGTTCTCAATGCACTGTGAATAAACTGAAACAGTTTCCTATAATTTCCACGTGATTTAAACGCTCCCAGAGGTTTGCGAGAACTATAAGTTGCGACCGTTCCTGACTGAGTGCTTGTTAGGATGCTGGAACGACGACTAGTCTGTCTAGATCAGCGGAAGCCGCCCTAGCAGTGTTCCTTAGGGTCAAATTTTGCCAGCAGTTATCCAGAGAATTCATTCAAGGATTCTGAAGAGTTTCTCTAGTTTATCGAAAATTTAATTTAACGAAAATTTACTCTTGACAACATCTTGCATATCGTTGTAAAAACCATCATCATTTGTGTTGGTTTCAGCGATATTGACCACAGAGTAAACCGCAATGAGAGGAAAATTTGCAGAGTACCCTCGGAGTAGTGCTGGAGCCAGTGGAAAATAAATTGGGTCTGATACGATTGGATAGCAGCGAGCCTGCTTGTTCAATGCCAGGAGGAAACTGTGGAGTCCGGAGTTGTCGGTGGGCGCACCAAAGCTTTGATGCGCTGGGTTATAGTATTTGATACCCCAGCTTCCGAAAATCATTCTGCCAATGTGATAGCCATGGAGTGTGCGCACAGTGGTACACTGGCACCCTGTATTGAGGAGCGTTCGCACGTTTACGCATGTAATGTGGATTTTCCGTCTGCACGATGTTCGGAGTTTCCAGCTTAGTGTCTGGTGGCCCCTGTCGATAGGATAGCACAGGATGCGTCATAGCAGGAGAAGAACGGGGGTGTACGAAAGAGCATCTCGTGGTAAGCTGTCTCCCCCAGAAGGCAATCATAAACGTACACCACTGCATGACCATACCATTTCGGAACTACTTTCAAAAAAGAAGTAGTCTCAAGATAACAAGACAAAAATAAGCGATTGGGTGGATCTCGTGGAACCGTAAAGACCAACATCAGAATTTTGAGCATGACAATGTCGTTGACATGAATATTAGACTGAAAATCTCGCCCATGAAATTCTAAATTGAGGATGGAAGGAATCATTGTGACCACAACTCGAAAGCCCCCACTTATATATGAATAAAGATCACACAAGTCGTACTGGTGCAATAAAAAATATAAATGCTAGTTTGATGTTGATGTTCGTATAACTAAACCGCTAGGTTGAGTGAGTAAGCTGCAGCAAAAGGTATTATCGCTCTAATCAGTACTGGTCAGATACCCAAAACTGGGTGGTGTAAAACAGAGGGTTGCATATGTGTGTGAGATCTATGAGCCCACTAGCACCCCGATTAAGGGTGGCAAAAAAAGAAACACTGAATCATAGTAGCACAAATAAGTTACTAAGGATAAGGAATCCGATGCTTGATTTATTCGAATTTTGAACAACATTACCAACTGTTTTACATGGAATTTCTTTCACAAGGCATCACATAATTTTCACCGCCTGGTGCACCAATTTGCCTTTACCGTGATCGCGAATCAGATGCGGAATGCATGCGTTTTAACCGCACTCAGTAAGGTAGTTTTCCGCAGACCCCAGAGACCTTATAAACTCTGTCAGAACTACTCGATGCAAACAGCTTGGCGAATTGGATTTTTCAAAATTGTGTCGCATGTTTTCACTTGAGAGAAACTTTCACAAGACAACTAGACAATCATCATCATCATCGTACAGCGAAATACAGAGAAGCGAACTGATTGCTGCCAAACTCGCAATGCATATGCACTAGGGTTGGATGGACGGATACTCCTAAGGTGTCCAGCTATTTAACAGAACGATTAGGGTTCTCGTTCAAAGCCTTTAGTTCTGACAAGAACCTAACCGCGAGGCAGCGGGTGAAGCTAAGTGGAGGCCCATTTACTTGGATCAATTACTCCTCCACCATCCTTTACCGACTGACAGGTCAATTCTAGACGAACCCCCAATCTGGAGGATCAGGAGACCGGACTTCGTCCGACCTCTACCTTTCGACCTTCCAGGTATAATTATATCTTCGGCTTAACAAAAGTCATACTGTGTAGCTCCTTGGGTCACAGAGGTGTACAAGCCAACACACCACGTCAAGGTGCAGTCTCGTCGTGACAGCAATCTTGATGATGACAATCTTGCGAGAGATGGAAGGTGTAACGAAAAATGTGTCACACGATTCTTGTTTGTGAACCACTAACTGAAAGCGAACAAAAAGAGTAATACTTCTGCATCATTAGGGCAGTATATGCTTAGACAGATCGGCTAGCCAAACACAGGAGGAATAGACCAATTTACAGCAACCAGTGGAAGCTAGCGAAAGATGTTTCAATGCAAAAATTTAGCCACTGATTCCTGTGTTTTATTGGTTGCACGAGCTCNCCATTCTCGTTTATTTTTAGCTTGAACTAAGCAGCAAATGAGGTTTGTGTTGATCGTTTTTACCACGGCCGGTTTCCGGTCTTATGAAAATCGTAATCAACTCAATGCGGCAACGACTGTGAAATCAGATAGCCGTATTCAATATCAAATGGTAAAGAACTACAAAAACCGGAGTCAAAAACTCACTTAGACAATTGGCATATTGTGCGTATTCTTTCTCGGACACAAGACGAATTGTAGGTTGTAGAATTGGGAGAATTTCTTTTGACAAAGTGAATTTGATAATAACTCGTCCCGTATCACCATCCAGACCATTTATCTGAAACCAGACAGGAAAGTTGGGGGAGGAAGGGAATATTAGAGGAAAGGATATTCAAGCCTCTTTCGATTTTGTAATTTATATCCAGCAAACGGGAATGGTGGTGGTGGTTATGGTGGTAACCATCAGACAATAATTCTACAAAACAATATTTTTGAAGGCTGGCGTTTGAAGTTCAGATCCCAACCATAACACAATATAGGGACAAACGAATAATTATTTTCAAGTTACGGGAGCAAATGTAAGCTTATTTTAATTGAGACACACCGTGAACAACCGACCCGAAGGATCGTTAAGATCTCGTTTGTTCAGAATAAGCCATAGATCTAACAAAGCGACATGCTGCTCTGCGTTCTCTTTTCTCATAAAATATCATAACGGTGGATCAATTTCTGGAACATTTTTTACACCTGGTGTTGAGGATAAAAATTGTACTGTAATTTACGCATTTGTGAACTGAATAGTGCAAAAAATTGAAATAAGTTAAGCGGTCTTTTATTACCACCGGTTGTCAACTTGACTTGACTTGACTTAGAGGTTGTCAAGGGGTATAAATTACTGTCAGCGACGTGCTCTGGAACCCAAGATTCAATGGTTGAACCTCGTCACCCCTAACGCCCAAACTTGGTCGGAGGAAGATTTAGCGTCTTCCAGATCGATAACACAAAAATCTCAGCGGTACTTTATGGTTTGGCGTTGAACCCGATCAATAAGAGAGAGGTGAATAAAGCTCCACCCCACACTGCAGTATTCAAGTTTAGGGTGAATCTGAAATTTATAAAGCGAAAGGAGATGTAACGGGGGTGGAGAAACGTTTGGCGCGGAAGAGGAGGCCGATTTTGTGCACAGCGAGGGAGACAAGTAAATAAATATAATGGTGACGTTTTTTCTCTTTCTTTTTATGAGGATTATTGTACCATGATTTGTTTGACATACAGTCTGGCATCAAACGTGTGTGAAATATAAATCTGTCGAACGGAGAATAATCGAGATAAAATTTAATGAAGAGGATGGATGTGTTTAAGAGAAGTGGACATAAGGGCAGCTTTACTAGCATTGAAGAAAATGTGGTAAGGACAGCACAAACAGAAATAAGGCCCCGATTAGAATTTAGAGAGAAATTGAGAGAGGAGCACTCATCACTAACGCTAGAGTTAGCGATACGTGAAGAGGAGTAGGACAAAGAAAAGTGTAGAGTAGCGCCATCGGCAAAGACGTGAATAGGACTTGAAGTCCAAGAAAGGTGATCAATAAATAACAGAAAAAATGAAACGGAACGTACAGAACCTAGGGGAACACTGGCATTCACAGGCACGGAACGAGAAATGATCACATCGATTTGAAGGGAGATGTTGCGGTCTTTGAGATAGCTTGCGTTCCAGGACAATTCGGTTCCCTTCTTTCAATCACTTTTCGTAGACCCACCATCTCTATCTTCTTGGATCTTAAAGCGGCTTTCGACTCAGTCAACCGCTCTAAACTCTGGCGCTGTCTTTCAATCCCTCTACAATAATAACCGAATCCGCGTTTACGGCACGTTTTCACCCCAGTTCACCAAAGAAAGTGGCGCTCGACAGGGTTGCCCTCTCTCCCTTCTTCTATTCAACTTTGTTATAGATCTGATTATGGAAACAGCCCTACCCTCGAGCGACGACAGTGGTATCGATTTACTCCCAGGTAGTAGGCTGTCTGATCCAGAGTATGCAGACGACATTGTGCTACTAAGTGAAGATTCAGGTAAGTTGCAAGCTTTTCTGCAAAGTTTGAGTGCTAGTGTAGCCACGTTCGATATGCGTTTGGAACCTTCAAAGTGTAAAATGCTACTACAAGACTGGGTTGGTCCAGCACCCAGCCTCACTCTCACTGGGGAAGTAATAGAGGAGGTGGATAAGTTTTGTCATCTGGGAAGCTACA